CAAAATAAATGCAAGTCAACAAGCATGTATTAGTTAAGCATTACAAAGTGTTGTACTAAGCACTGGGGACACAAAGAAAGGCCAAAAACCCAAACCAAAACAGTTCCCACTATAAAGGAGCTCCCAGTCCAATGGAGAGGAGAAAGAGGACGATGACATGCAAATAACTATACCTGAACAAGACATATCCAGGATAAACTGGAGATAACCTCAGAGGGAAAGAATGGCTACCTGCAAACCAGTCAATAAATCTTTATTAAGTGCCGAGCATGTGCAAAGCACTGTGCTGTGCTGCTAGCTCACAAAGAAAGGAAAAACACAGTCCCTGCTCTCAAGCAGCTCACAATCTAATGAGGGGGACAACATGCGAACAACCATGTACAAACAAGATATATAGAGTCTAAATGGGAGATGCTCTTAGAGGGAAGGGATGAACCCTAAATAAGATCCAGAAAGACTTCTTGCAGGTAGAATTTGAGCTGAGACTGAGGTGGCACAGTGCATAAAAGGCTGAGCCTGGAGTCAAGAAGATTCATCTCCCTGAGTTCAAATCTGGCCTCAGCTGTGTGACCCTGGCCAAGTCATTTAACCCTGTTTACTTCAGTTCCTCATCTGTAAAGTGAGCTAGAGGAGGAAATGGCAAACCACTCCAGTATCTTTGCCAAGAAAACCCCAAATGGGGTCACGAAGAGTCAAACATGACAGAAAATGATTGAACAACAACAGGGGGTGGAGAAAAGGAAAGAGCATTCTGAGTATGGGAGTCACCCAGTTGGGACCCAACAGCTGAAAGATGAAATGTCTTGTTGAAGGAATAGCACTGAGTCAGTCCAGTGTCAATGGATCATAGGGTATATGGAGAGGTGTAAATTATAAGAAAACTGGAAAGAGAAGGAGAAGGGGGAGGAAATAAGCATTTATATACATTCAATTATGAAGTGCCAGACATTGTGCTAAGTGCTTTACAAGTATTATCTCATTCGATCGTCTCAAAAAACTGGGAAGTAGGTATTATAATTATTATTATTTGCATTTTATAGCTGAGAAAACTGAGGCAGAAAGAGGTTAAGTGACTTGCCTGGGGTCACGCAGCTAGTGTCTGAAGCTGGACTTGAATTCGGGTCTTCCTGATTCCTGGTCCAGTACTATACTACTATATACTATATTACACTACCTATACTATACATTATACTACCTGGCTAGAAAGAGGTGACTAGGGGTGGGAGTGAGGAGGGAGCCAGGTTATGAATGGCTTTAAAAGTCAAACAAAGGATTTGATATTTGATCCTGCAAGTGATAGGGAGCCATCAGAGTTTACTCCATGGGGGTTGGGGAGGAGGGGAGAGTGCTATGGTATGTTCCTGGTGCTTTAGGAAGATCGTTTTGATAGCTGAGTGAAGGATGAACTGGGGAGGAGAGAGACTTGAGGCAAAGAGATCAATCAGCAGGCTTTTGCGTTAGTCCAGAAGTGAGGTGATAAGAGCCTGAAGCAGGGTGGTAGCAGTGTCAGAGAACAGGAATGGCAACATACGAGACGTTGTAAAGGTAAAATGAGGCAGAACTGACAGGCCCTGACAACTGATCAGTTACAGCAGGTGAGAGAGTGAGGAGCAGAGGATAGTGATGCCCTTGACAGTAATAGGGAAGTTAGGGAGAGAGGAGGGTTTTTGAGGGGCGATAATGAATTTATTTTAGATATGGTAAGTTTGGGCAGGTGGGACAAGATGATAACTGAATCCAAAGGAGCTGAAGAGATCACCAAGCAAAATAGCTACAGATGCCCTAGGATAGAGCCTGGAGCTGGGGGAGCTCTGTGTGGATGAAGATCCATCAAGGGAGACTAAGTAGTGGTCAGATAAGTAGGAAGAGAATCAGCAAAGAGTAGAGAGTATCAAGGGGAAGAAGGTGATAATAGTGTCAAAGGCTGCAGAGGTCAAGAAGAAAGAAGATTGAAAAAAAAAGGCCATTAGATTTGGCAATTAAGAGATCATTAATAACTTTGGAGAGAGTGATTTCAGCTGAAATATGATATTGGAAGCCAAAGGGTAATTAGGAAGAAGAATGAGAGGAAAGAAGTGGAGGAAACTATTGTAGCTGGCCTTTTCAAGATGTTTAGCCAGGAAAGATATAAGAAGATAGACAGTGGGGTTGATGGACAAAATAAGGGCTTTTTTTTTTGAGAATGGGGAAATATACAGTAGACAGGGAGAGACTGAAGATTAGTAAAACAGTGGGATGATAAAGGGAGTCATCTGATGGAGAAAATGGAACAGAATGGAATCACTTGTACAAGTAGAGGGACTTGCTTTGGCAAGGAGAAAGGCCACCTCTTCATGTGAGACAGGAGAGAAGGAGGAGGTAGTAACTGAAGGCATCTGGGTGATTTGAGATGTGGAAGAGAGGGAGCTCTCAGTGAATGGTCTCATGTAAAAAATATGAGGCAAGATCTCAGCTGAAAGTGTTGGGAACCATAGGAGGTTTGAGGAGCTAGGCAAATTTTTGGAAAAGGTGTTGTAGTAAGTTAGATAGTGAATCAATTGGGAAAGTATAAAAGGACTTCCCTGCCCCAGTGAGGGCCCAGGTACAGTTGTGTGACCAATTTGTAGTGGACTCACTCAACTCAGCATATGAACATAAGTGAAGGTAGTGGATGGTGAGAATAATGCTTGGTAGGACGAGATTGACTACAAGATAAGGGAGGCAAAGTACCCAAGAAAAGATGATAGTATAGACTTGAACTGGTTTATCAAATGATCAACATGAAGAAGAGAAGACAGATTAACCAGCGCAAGATTGATGGTCAAGGAACAAATTGAGGGGCAGAGAGATTTAAGGTAATGGTGAGGACAAAGAAAATGTTTGGAAGGGGTGGGTGTGAGTTATAAAATAGAGGAAAAGATGAATGGATAAGATTATAATCAGATAAAGTAATTACAGAGTTCATAAACTTGGAAGTAGAATGCTTGTGGTGGATGGCAAGATCAAGAGTCTGACTATTTCTGCATGTAGATGAAGTGGGGTGGCAATTAAGAGGTCACTGGCATCTTTGAAGAAAGAAACTTCAGTTGATTGGGAGGGTTGGTTGGTCAGTCAGTCAACAAATATTTATTAAGTACCTCATAAGTGCTAGACACTGTGCTAAGCACTGGAGATATGAAGAAAGGCAAATTCATCAACCCTGCCCTCAAGGAACTCAAAATCTAATGATGGAAAAAACATGCAAGCCTCTGGCTGAAGATAGATTCATGCTGAGTGTTGAAAGATTCTTGAAGGAAATTACAAAGTAGGTGTGAGGAGGAAGAGCATTCCAAACATGGGAGACAGTAGACTCAGATGCATGAAGCTGGAGCTGGAGTTGATTGAGGAATGGGGAGGCTTTAAGAGAATCGCTTTGGCAGTAGAGGATGGATAACAGTAGGAAGAGACCTTAGTCAGGGAGATCAAATAGAAGACTATTGCAATAATTTAGATGAGAGATGATGGGTCCTATACAGAGGAAGTATATGTGTGAGTAGAGAGAAGGGAACATTTACAGGAGATGTTTGAAATAAAAAAGTAACAAAATCTGTAACAGCCTGGAAACATGGGGTGAGTTCAAGAGAAGAATGCGGGATGACACTAAGGTTGCAAAAGCCTGGGTAACCAGGAAGATGGTGGTACCCTCAACAATAACGGGTAATTCAAAGGAGTTGGAATTTGTGAGAGAAAGAAGCCAAATTCTCTTTAGTTTCCTTATATAGAAAATGAAGGGGTTAAACTAGATGATCTCAAAGGTCCCTTCAAGCTCTAAAATTCTACAACTGAAATTTCTGAATTAGACACGAGAAAAATTGAAGACACTGTTTAAGGTTAAGTTATCTAAGTGTCTTTTGGCTCCAATTAGGCTCAAGTAAGAAATAAAGGGATTAAATTTGAAGAGTTCAGTTAGAAATGAGGAAGAACTTCTTGAATATAGGGGGAATTCAGGTTATGGAAATTTGAGTTCTAATTCTGAATGGCTGAGATGTATTCCAAACCATCTTCCAACTAAAATATTCAACAAAACAATCAAAGTGAAATTTTTTGGAAAGATGGAAACATAAAAACAGAAAACCACTTTGAAATTAAATAATATCATTAAAAATTCAGCTAGTCCTAAAGGGTACATTTTGTTTTGTATCATTTTGCTTTTCAAAAACAAATTTCTAGCATGGCAAATAGGATGATTAGTTCACAAATCTAGAAAGGTAGCTCTAGCAATCATTTGCATGGAAATGATAATTAAGCCCATAAAATCTAACGAGGTCATTGAGAGAATTGGGAGAGATAGGGTCTAGGGCAGAATACTGAGGAACATTCAGTTACAGGAAATGATATGGATGATATTTGAGCATAGAAAACAGAAGAAACAGTCTGTTAGGTAGGAGGAAAACCAGGAGAGAACCGTGTCACAAGAACCCAAAGACGACAGATTTTTTTAAAACACTAGAAAAAGCTAAAAAAATATTTTGTAATGCTAGGGATTCAATAGGAGTTAGCACATTATACCATTAGCACAAAGCTACTATTTAGGTAGCCAACTTATTTAAAAACAAAATATGGAACCAGACAATAAAAACTTAATTCAACCGGTATTTTTAAAAAATAAAATCGTATTTTTTTCAGTGAACAAGTATCAATTTTATCTCCTGCACAACTACTCCCCCATGAAAAAAATAAATTAAAAAAACCCTCCTAGCAATTATGTATAGTCAAGCAAAACAAATTCCTGTATTGGTCACATCTAAAAAACATATGCCTCATTCTGACTCTGAGTCTATCACCTCTCTACCAAAAGGTGGGTAGCATACTTCATTGGTCCTCTAGAAATCAGAAACCTATCTAATATAAAGGTTAAATAGATCTATTCTTTATTTTATAATATCGTACATTTTTATGAAGAGCCAATTTAATCCCCCAATGGCATTACAACACCACACACATAGAGATCACACACACTTACATATGAAAAATTATCATACCTCAACATCTAAAACGCTGCGGGGTTGAGCTTGGCACAGCATACTTAACAGCTGTAGAATTAACTCTTCAACATACTGGAGAGCATCCTCATTTGATGCAAGTGTAGGATGGACTTGCATCTGGACCTACAACCAGAAAGAAATGTAATTAAACTTAGTTTTTGCTAGTCAATGTTCATAGTGTACTATACATGAATTTGGTAAATGTTAGAAAAAAATTTTAGTGAAAAACATGTAATTGCATACATATAAAGTAAGGTATTACCAGCTGATTACGTTTTGTTATTAGATTTTTAAAATAAAAAATAATTTAAAGCAAATACATGCTTTCTTGAGTACATGCTTGTTGACTTGAATTTATTTTGTGTTCATGATATACATAGACTATATATATATATATATATATATATTTTTGCTTGACCATTAATAGAATATGAACCCCTGGAGATTAGGAAATATTTCTGTCTTCATCTTCATATCCCCAGTGCCCAGTACAATTCCTCAAAGTTACTAGGTGCTTAATAAATATTTGCTGATTGTCCTTCTAAATCAACCCTTCAAACACTATTTCATCTTTTGTTATTTTGCCAATATACTAAATGTGAGGTGAAACCTTAGCTTTAGTTTGTTTTACTTTTCTCTTTATTAGTAATGATTTAATATTGTGGTCAATAGTTTATAATTCTTCTGTTTGGTCTTTAAAGCCCTTCACAACCTGGCCATTTTCTACCTTTCCAGTCTTCTTACACTTTCTTCCTCTCTAAGTATAATCAATCCAAAGACACTGAACTCCTTGCTGTGCCTTTAGCAAAACACTGGAGCTCTGGACTCCAGGCATTTTCACTGGCTGTCCCCCATGACTGGAATTAACTCATTCTCTTCATTTCTGCCTCCCCACTAAAAGCCCAACTTCTACAAGAAGTCTTTCTCTAGTGCTTTCCCTTTATTGATTATCTCCAAGTTTATCTTGTTTGTTCAGAGTTGTTTGTATGTTGTCTGCCTCAGGGAGCTCCCTGAGAGCAAGAACTGTCTTTTGCTTTCTCTGTATCTCCAGTGCTTTGCACAGTGCCTAACATAGTAACATATTTATGGACTTAATGACTGACTGGAATCACATCATGGCTTGGCCACATATTAGCTCTGTGACCTTGGGGAAGATATTTAACCTTTCAGTGCCCCAGATTTCAATGAGTTTTCTATAGCAATGAAATCACAGGTTCTAATTCCTTTCCTTCCCTCCCCATTCATATCTAAACTCAGTCTCAGGTCATTTTAGAATTCCATGAGTAGCACTCTACTGACTACAGATCTGTCTGCCTCAGTTTTCTCATCTCTAGAATGAGGATAAGAAAAGCCCTGTCTTCCAGGGTTGTTATGAGGATAAAATAATATTTATAAGATGCTTGGCAAACTTTAAAGGGCTATGTAAGTGTTAGCTATTAATGTATCATTGTTGTTATTGCTGCTACTGTTAGGCACCAGTGGCAGAGTGAAGTTTTCCATAAATGATATTCAAATTTGGTTCCTAATATAGCAATACAGAGCAATACTTCATACAATTCCTGAAATGACTCACATTTAAATTATGTTTTATGGCTTGCAAAGTTCATTCCTCAATAAACTAATTGAGGTATGTACTGCTTTATTACCTCCATTTTACAAATAACGGAACTGAAACTCTAAAAAGTTAGGTGATTGCCCATACTGATACAGCTATTTAGTGTCTGTGGAAGGGAATAAGCATTTACATAGTGCCTACTATGTGTTAGGCACTTTACAAATATTATCTCATTTGATCAGCAAAACAACTAGGTAGATACTGTTATTAACCCCATTTTACAATTGAGATAACTGAGGCAGAGATTAAGTAACTTGTCCAAGTTTACACATCTAGTCAGTGTCAAAGGTTAGATTTGAACCTGGGTCTTTTTGACTCCAGGAGCTGCAGTCTACCCCCTGCTCTAACTTGCTGAGAAGGAATTTGAAAAGAGAAATATAGCATGAGTACTATAATAGTTCACAATATTGTGATGTGAAATAAAATCATTTTTCCACATTTGCCTAAAAAATCTGTCCTTTGTGCATTCATGCCTTCAGACTCCCTCAAGTACCAGTCACCCCCAGGAGTTCCCATTTCCCCCTTCCCAAGGTAGGACAAGTGGTCCTTTCAAGCACCAATATCCTAGAAAACATCCAGAGCAAGGTCCCCATCTCCCTTCAAAGAACATCTCTCTTCACTCACAGGAACATTCATCAGTAGAACGAACTCCCTTCCCACCACGAAAACAAAGCCTCCTTCTTTCTCCCTTCTCCGTTTTCAATTCTTTCCCCCTCCTCCTCACTCACAGTCCTGAAGAGAGTAGATCATATACCTCTCACAGCTAAGCATTGGTGATGTATTCTTAACTCAAGATTGAGGCACTTACAAAAGATAAAATAGTTAACTTTGATTACATGAAACTGAAAAGCTTCTGCACAGAGAAAAATAATACACCTAGGATAAGAAGGAATGAATAGGAAAAAATCTTTACACCAAATTTCTCTGATAAGGGTTTGGTGTCTAAGATACCTAAATAATACATATGCATGGGTAGTACTAATAGCCATTCCTCAATAGTTAAGTAGTCAAAGGATACGAACAAACAGTTCTTAAAAGAATTGCAAAGTATTCCCACCTACATGAAATAATGCTCCAAGAAAAATGCAAATCATGCAAATTGGCAAAGACAACAAAAATGGGAATAGTCAATTCTGGAGGGGTCATGGAATGAGGAATACTAATACATTGTTGATGGAGCTATATGAAATGGTACAATCATTTTAAAAAGCAATTTGGATTATGCAAATAAAGTAACTAAAATGTCCATACCTTTTGAACCAGAGACTCTGTGACTGGGCTTATACCCAAAGGAAGACACTGATAAGAATAAATTCCCCCATAAAAGACAAAATATTTATAGTAGCGTTTTTTGTGATAGCAAAGAATTTGAAAAAAAAAAAAAGGATGGCCAGTGATTGGCAAATGGCAAAACAAATTATGGTACATGAATGCAATGAAATATTAATATGCTGCAAGAAATGATATGTGTGTGATGAATACAGAAAAGCATGGAAAGATCTACATGAACTGATGCAGAGTAAAGTAAGCAGAGCTAACAATAACAATAAAAATAACAACAGCCAACATTTATATAGTGCTTATTATGTGTCAAGCACTGTGCTATGTGCTTTATAATTATTATCTCATTTGATCCTCACAATAACGTTGGTAGGTACGTACTATAATTATTTCCATTTTACAGATGAGGAAACTGAGGCAATAGAAGTTAAGTGATTTGCCCAAGGTCACACATCTGGGAAGTATCTGAGACCAGATTTGAACTCAGATTTTTCTCACTCTAGGCCCAGCACCCTATCCACTGCACTGCCCCAAAAATATACATGTAACTACAATAATGTAAATGGAAAGAACTATCTGTCAAAAAAAAAAATCAAAAGTGAATGTAACAAAATTAAAGATCAAGTAAGACTCAAATGAAGAGACATGAGATGACTGCCCCCCAAACTATCCCTCTGCGGAGGTAGAAGGTGCACAAGGATTACACATTGCATGTGTTTTCAGACTTTTTCAATGTATCTATCAATTGTGCTGCTTTTTTCACTTTTTTCAAAAAAATACTAATTTTTTTATATGGGTTGATTCTCTGGAAATGGGAGGTAAAGGGATGTTTGGCATAACTATAACTATGTAAGAAGCAGAAGATATCAATAAAAAACTTATTTTTGAAAAAATATATAAAAATCATAGTATCCAAACTCTAGAGTTTTAAGGGAACTCAGGGGCCAGATACTATCGTCCAACCCCATCATTTTACAGATGGGGAAGCTGCAGCCCAAGAACGTTAAGTGAATTGTCCAAATTAACAAGCTGATAAATGTCAGAGATGAAATCTGACTGAACTCGTGTCTTCTGAATGTAAAGCCAGTGATCTTTCTGAATGGAATGAAATAAAAATCTCTGATCAGGAGTGAAACCTGACAACAGTTCTTTTGCAAAAACAATCACCCTATAGAAAACTTGGTTAGTAAAGTAGACAAAAATAACTTTCAGTTTTCAACTTTCTATTAACCTATTGCTTCTACCATGGTAATCTATGCATTAGAGCAGAGGTTCTTAACTTGCAGGCTATGAACTTACATATATTTATTTATAACTGTATCGGTTTCTGTTGTAATCTTACATATTTAATTTTATGCATTTAAAAACATTATTTTGAGAATGGCTCCAAAAGCTTCACCAAATTGCAGAAGGAGTTCATGACAAAAAAAGGTTAATAATTCCTGCTACAGAAGTATTTCTAATAGGGGTTGTGAAATACAGTGCAGGGTAATTTGGCTAGACCTTTGTGCACTATTTGAAAAATCAAAAGAATTACTGAATGTGTCAACTCCTAGCTATTGGAGACATATGAATCCTTTAAGTGTACTTAGGAATCCCTTGGGTAAACAGGATAAGAAATCACTATGTTGCATTCTAATGAAACTTTAATAGTCTTTTCTATCTAATGGCTCTCTCAAGAATGATTTGAAAGGCTTCTAGATGCAACTTTGCCTGGGTGGGCTCCAGATCAGTAGTTTGATTAAGTCACAAATATAAAAGGAGGATCTGGAACTGAACTGGTAGGACTAAGAGCTACAAACCATAATAATAATAATAATAACAACAATAATAATAATAATAACAACAACAACAACAACAACAAAAAAGATTTAAATGTTCCAATTTGCTCTCAGGAAGATTCTTTAGTGAACAGCTCAATGTTTTAGAAACATTATCTAGTTGAAGAATAAGCAAGGAGACAAATTAGCTCCTTTTAAATAAACAAAACAAACATCTTAGAGAGAATTTCTTTGCCAAAGCTTTCCTGAACTATCAAGGACAAAATAAAAATTTTCTGTCTTTACCCTATTTTGGCACTTTGAGAATGTCTGTTGACTTTCCATTTCATCTGAGGGAAAAGAAACTATTTTTATTGTGCTTCCTGGATAAAAAATGTTTTTTACCCAAAGTACATATAGCTTCAAATCTGGTCACCAAAAAAAAAATTCAAGTTTTAATTAGTAAA